TCAGCAATGGCCGGGGAGGTCAATCCAAACCTGAAGTGTAGCGTAAGAAATTAGATTAGTAGTTGTAAGAAGCAGCCTCTTCTGAGAGATCGGAAAAGAAAGAGGGGCTTTTATTTGTGGGTGATGACGAAGAGGGGAGGGGGGAGAAGGTTTCATGGTATTCGACGGATAGGCGCGAACAAGTCACTTAGCGGCGGGATCGGGGGGGGGGCGGCGGGCGAGCAGGGAGGAGGGGGGTCGGGCCGGAGAGCGGCTAGGAGTACGGGGAGAGAGTTGGATGAGACGCAACGCCAAGCGCGAGCTAGCGTACCAAAGGACTTTAAACTACGGATCGGCGCGCACTCCTTAACTCCCCCTACCAGGTCATAGGCTGGGTTGGTGGCTGGATGACGGGTTGATGAATTGGCTGTCAGGCCGTTTTGCGTGTTCGGCGGTGGATGTGTTCGTTGGGGGTGTGCGGTGGAGCTGCATGGTGATTGGGTATTATTATGGACGCCATGACAGAAAGGGTAGATATAATGGGTTGGATTGGATATAAACGGTGTTCAATTGGGGAGGGAGAAATCAATGGCGTCGTTATGGCGGGGAAAACAGGTCAGGGTTAGGGTTAATGAGAGTACGAAAACATAGTTTGAGGGGCGCTGGGAGTGTTGTGTTTGCGGCGCGCTGTTCGTGGCGCTGCCGAGCGGAGGGTTGTTGGCGCAGGACAAATACGCCGACGCCTGAATCGGGGCCCACCGCAGGGCATTCCGCCAGATTCCAATGGTTGTAACGGTCAGGCCGTGGGAGCGCCGGACGGATTCAAGGTGGTTGCGCGGATCGTCAAGGGTGCTGCGGTTTATCAGAGCGAGCCGGGCGAGATGAGGATGAGCGATATTTTGTGACCGTTGGGGCCGCCTGATCGAGGTTTATCACCGAAAGAGATTGTGTTTTACCTGGAGGGGGGGTGGGAGGCTAACGAGCGCCTTCGACATTTGCGCCGGGCGTGTGAACCAGTTCAACTTTGACCTACATTCGAAAGAGATACCGGTCGAGACGCTGACGCCGACGCTGTGCCAGTGCTGCAGGCGACATTCGCGGGTTACGATAGTGGTTGCGGGGTCAGGCGGTCACTTCCGATATGGTGTGATCGTTAGGATTGGCGACTACGAGAGTCCGCCTGCGGCGCATCGTGCGAACGGAGAGTTCGTATAAACCTAGTATCATTACGGAGGATGAAGACTCACGGGGCTCCTGTGGAGTTTCTGAATGGGGAGGCGTCAACGCACACAGTAATAGGAGTGTTCGAGCCGGGCGCGCGGCGAGTGGTTGACCTTGTGTTTGGCGAGGTGCCGCCGACGGAGACGCCGTTGCCGACGAGTACGCCGGAGCCGAGTGCGACGCCGGAGCCGAGTGCGACACCGTTGCCGACGGAGACGCCGGTGCCGCCGACGGCGACGGTAGTGCCGCCGACCCTGGTTGCGGGCCCTCCGACGCGACGGCAGTGCCGCCGACAGCGACGCCAGAGCCGACGGCGACGCCAGTGCCGACGAATACGCCGGTGCCGCCGCCTACAGCGGTGCCTGAGGTTGTGGTGGTCGGAGACGCCGGATGAGGAAGAGGAGGGTGGCGACGGTGCATGCTCCAGCACGTCGGGATTGCGGTTTGGTCAGTCTGCGGCGAATATGCTGCTGCTGTTTGCGCCTGTTGTGATGCTGGGTGGCGCGAGGTATGCGCGAGGACGGCGTAGGCAGGATTAGGTAATAAGTAATGGGTAGGCGGTTGTCGCACGAATTGCGACCGGACATCCGCGAATTGCGGATATTGTAAAGAGGCTAGAAGATGAGAGAGGCTCTCGCGAATATGCGGAGCCTCTCTTCTTGTCTGAGCTTACGAGAGGATCGTGGTGGCAGGGAACTATTGTCGTCTCCGGCGGTCAGCACTTGTTAGACGGCGGCGGCGATTGTAGAATGAATAAATACCACCTGCTCTACCAAGCCTGACTACGTGATCGCATATGCTTACGAAGAGACAAGAGCTAATACTGAAAATCATCGTCGCCGACTACACACGCACGGCTACGCCCATAGCGTCCGAGGCCGTTGCGCGCAGGCAGGAGTTGAATGTCAGCTCTCGCACGGTGCGTAACGATGTGGCGGTTCTGAGAGACAGTGGTTTTGTCGCCATCCGCACACGTCTGCGGGCAGCATTCCGCTCGACAAGGCGTACAGATTCTTCGTCGAGTCCATTGAACACGAGGTGAACACTGCCATACCGCAGCCTGTGCGGGATAGCGCGAGGGAGCAGCTTCAGCATATCTTGCAGAATCTCGACGAATGGGCGAATGTTTCCGCCGCGGTACTATCGGGGCTGGTCGGCAATATGGCGATTGCCACATTCCCGAAGGCGCGAGACACCAGAGTACGCCATCTCGACCTCGTGCGTATTCAGGACCTGCTGGTAATGCTCATCGTGGTGCTGGAGCAGGCACATCTCCACCGGCAGCTCATTCGACTTCCCCACTCGATGGCGTCGGGCGAACTTGAAGAGTCAACGGCGCGCCTGCGCTCCTACTTGATGGGGCATAACCAGTTCGAGATAGAATCGCAGGAGATGCACCTCAGTCCACTTGAGGAGGAGATGGTTGATGCGACCATCATCGTGCTTCAGAAGAGGAGAAAGAGAGAAGGTCGGCCCATACGCGATCACTATGTTGACGGTATTCGCAATCTGCTATCGCAGCCGGAATTCGCCGAGAACGAGCGCGCTCGGCGACTGGCGAAGGCGTGAAGAAGGCAGCATCGCCATGGCGAGACATCCTGTCCGAAACCCTGAAGGGGGAGTTGTGCGCGTCATAATCGGGCACGAGAACCCCGACGACACGCTGTCGCCGCTTAGTGTGGTCGTATGCCAGTATGGATTGCCGCATCAAGCGGTTGGCGCTGTCGGCGTTGTGGGCCCGACGCGCATGGAATATCCCAGGACTATGGCGGGCGTGAAGTTCGTCTCCTCCGCGATGGGCGAGTTGCTTGATAGCGTCTATGTCGAGTAGGGGCGACTTTCCCGCTTCCAATGAGCAGCCTACGTGACCCTACTCGTGCGTAAGAACCTCGCCATTGCGAGGCTTGTGGCTCGAATACCTGATCATCCCGTATCTGGCCCCGTATTTGGCCCCGTAATTCGCCCATATTGGGCAAAAAGCTTATATGCGCAACATGTTCTTGCATCCGCTGCGCTGGACTTTGCGAGCGCGCACGTGTGTATATGCATAGTAGTCGAGAGTAGGAGGCGGAACGGAACGAGGAACCCGAGACGGCGCGCGAGCTAACGCATGGCGAGGAGGAAGAGAGAGCTTAGTTGGCGCGTGCATTGGATAGGGAGTAAGAGTAGCGCGAACCCGTGAGGCGGGTTATAGGCATGGAATCGTGGCCGCGCGTCCTCAGGAAGCCGTGTCGAGCGGGTGAGAAGGATGCAGTCTTGTGAATGGACACTCACACACGGAGCGCTAATGGCACAGGCGCATTTGCAGCATACGTGAGTGCCCAGCGTGGTGAGAGTCGTCGGCAGGGAGATCACTTTACAGTCATTTGCCGATAGAGGTTGTCAGGACGTCGTTAGGAGTCAGCAGGCGGAGCGTCTCAATAAATCTGGCCTATATCGTGGCGGTCGGAGAGCATGAACCCCACAACAACCAGATGAGATGCGCCTGTCAACGTTCTGGGTATGGACAATCTGCGTTGAGTGCACGCCCGTCTGTTGCTTGGATGTCAAGCGTGTGGTGTACGCCACTAGCTATTTGCGCTCTCGCAGGTACGGCCGCACGAGCACTACGGAAGAGAGATAAGGCCACGGGTCCCGAGGATGACCCCGCCAAGATGGCCAGCAGACAGTACGCGATGCTGACAAGATATTCAAGGAGTTCCAGCGGAGCAGCAATACATCAAGAATTACGCGATGTCCATAACGGGCATCAGACCAGCACACGTGACCGGGCGGGACAAAGGTCAGGGCTCCACGACCACGTACAAGCGATACAACCCTGCCTGCCAGCTGACCGGTCACTTCACCGTGGGGCAATCGTAAGACCGCTGACCCGATTCATGTGGAGGATGCATCCGAGTTTTAGCGTGCGCGTGCGATGGCGGACACCTCAACACCCCAGGATACAACTCTACAACTCCGGCGGGACGCCTATAACCTAGGAGCGCTCGGCAGACCTGGGGCGTGAGGGATTCATACCGACGCCCAGAACAGATTACCTTCGATGACGCGAAGACGGCATCGAGGAATCTGACATCTATCTCGTGGACAATAGCCGCATACGCGAGGAGTTCGAGGTTGAGCTCCCACCCTTCAGGCAGAGAGTCCTGGATATCATCAACGAGGTACGACAGTCGGAGGGGATGCCACTTGTAAGGGAGTAGCGACCCGGACTATCCCTTCGGGCTGTACCCTCTACGTGCGGGTCTAGTGCATTACCAAGCCGCCGTCCACGTTGAATGCCTGGCCCGTGATGTTGCGTGAACCGGAGCCTGCCAAGAATGCCGCCATTCGGCTATGTCTTCAGGCTCGTTTGCCCGACCGATGGGGATTTGTGCGCTCCTCCGCTCTTCCAGCTGCTCCAGCGGGATGCCCATGTCCTGTGACCGCTGAACTTGCGTAGCTGGCTCATGGCGGGTACGGGTTACGCCGTGGCAGATTGACGTTCACGTTGATGTCATATCCTCCGAGCTGGTGGGCTGCTATGTGAGTCATGGCGATTACTGCCCCTTTGCTGGCAGCGTATGCCGCGTTGGAAGTACCCGAATAACCCTTGCCTGCGATTGACGCGATGTTGATGATCCGGCCTCCGTCGCCGCTGTCAATCATCTCCCGGGCGACTCGCTGAAGGCAGAAGAAGAAACAAGCCCCTGGCGTGACGCGGTGGGATTCTGTCCCCAGTCTTCCGGAGTCAGGTCCATAATGCCCGCGTGACGGGTAACTCCGGCGTTGTTCACCAGTATGTCTATGCGGCCGAATGCGTTCAGCGCCTCATCGACAACGCGGTTGATATCGTCGATGTCGCCAATGTCGGCCTCGACTGCGATGGCTTCGTGACCGAGTTCTCTGATGTCAATACTGGTCTGTTCGACCAGCCTGCCGTTGATGTCAGTGGCGACCACGCTTGCGCCTTCACTGGCGAGTCGCATAGCGATTGCCCTTCCCATGCCCTGTGCGGCGCCTGTAACCAGTGCGACTTTGCCATTGAGAGACATTGGAATCCTCCGTTCTTACTGGTGGTTGGCCGATATACCCCGGATGGCATCCAGTCCTTGCATGGCCATGCTCTCCTGAGATAGCACGGACTATATGTGGGTATTTTGAAGTTGTCAAATGCCACGAACCGCGCCTTAGTGCGCTGCTTGCCACTTTCACATCCCGGCAACATCCTGGCGTCTTTGATTCCATTGACCGTTAATGTCATTGCATCGGTACCTGGATGAATCGCTGGCTGACAGGATTGCCAAAATTGGAATTGCCGATGTTAGCCGATGAGGGTTGACTTAACGGGGAGGAGCGGGGTATTCTTCCTGAAATAAAGTTCATAGATCAGCATTCCCGAAATAGCGTTCAAACTTATTCTCAATTACGGCTGTTGGAACCTACGTAAAGTTATGATCGGAGAGAACGATGATCAAGGAGCGAAGATACTATCTGTTATTAGCCCTTGGTGCGGTGTTTGTTCTGGCGCTGGCAGCGGCTTGCGGTTCACAGCCCGTAGCCGAGCCTCAGGTCGTCGAGAAGATTGTCGAAGTCGAGAAGATCGTCGAGGTCGAAAAGACCGTAGAGGTTGAGGTCGAGAAGATCGTCGAGAGAGAGATCATCAAGGAGATAGTAAAGGAAGTCCAGGTGCCGGCTATCCAATCCGAGATAGCCGAGGGGGCGGCCTTTTACCGAGTACTTCCGGAACCCGACAAACGCAAAGTCCGGCGGGATCTTCAAGTGGGGCGGGAGAGCGAAGCCGTCGATGTACGACTTCCACCAGTCGCCAACGCACAACAACCTGACAGCCCAGCAGCCGATGTATAACACCGTGGTCAGTTCGATCCGCGCGACGGCGGACTCACGATCGCGCCCGACCTAGCGACCGCGTGGGAAATCTCGGGCGACGGAAAAGAGTTCACATTCCATCTGAGACCAGGAATAGAGTGGCACGACGGCCCGCAGTTCGAGTGCGGCGGAGGTCCGTTCACCGCCAACGACGTGGTAGCCACTTACGAGCGCATAATTGACCCGCCAGAAGGCATGATCAGCCTACGGAAAGAGTTGATGGTTGACGGGGCGGATCTCCGCCAGATAGTCGCCGTTGACGACCATACCGTGAAGTTCATTCTCGGAAGCCCGCGCACCACTCTTGTTCCGGCTCTCGCGAGCGGGTGGAACATGGTCGTGTCCGAGAAGTACTTGGACTGCGTCACAACAGCATGCGCGACTCGGCGTTCATTCCAGGCACTGGTCCATTCATACTGACTCAACATACTCCCGGCGAAAGCTGGAAGATGGATAAGAACGTAGATTACTTCATCGAGCACCTCCCATATTTCGATGGCCTTGACCTGGCGGCGCTTGCCCAGGCCCAGGCGCGCGCGGCGGCCGTATATGGCGGGCAGGTTGACGCGGTGATGCAGATTACCAAGGAAGATATGCAGAGGGCGTGGGACAACCCGGACAAGTACCACTCGCAGATCGGCAACTTCTTCAACGGCTCATCTTTCGCGTTCAACACAAACCGTCCTCCCTTCGACGATGTTCGGATGCGCAGGGCAGTTCACCTCGTGGTGGACAAGATGACGCTGCATGAACTGACGTTCCAAGACAAGTTTCAACGGGGAAGAGCCGGGAGGATGGTTCCTCCCCGACTGGCAGACGGGCGGCTCGCCGTACTCACGATCCGGCGACGAGCTTGCGACGATTCCGGGATACCGCATCTCCAACGGCAGAGGACATCGCCGAGGCCAAGCGACTGCTGGCCGAAGCGGGATATCCTGACGGGGCCGGACTCAACGTATCCTTCCTGCAGCGAGGCAACCAGCCCAATGCGGCCGTCGCCGCCATCCAGGACATGATCAGGAAGAACCTCAACGTCGAGATGAAAATCGAGCTTAGTGATGAAGGCGGATACTACGACCGGGTCCTGAACAAGGACTTCGACACGACCGGAACATTCACAGCCGCCGAGATAATAGATCCGGGTCCGTGGTTCACTCGATTCCTAGCGGATGGCGGTAGCTGGAATTACGGTGGGTGGTCCGACCCAAGAACCAATGCGTTGATGAAGCAGATCAACGAAGAGCAGGACGTAGAAAAGCGGGTTGAGCTGGTGCGCGAAATGCAGCTCCTGCTGGACGAGACCGTGCCGATCATGCTTTACGGCTACGCCGGCGGTTACGACATATACCGTACCTACCTGGGTGGCCCGGGCATGACCGACATTTATTACGGCGGATACAATTCGATGCACCGCCGCTGGACGCATATATGGTTCGAGCGAGACCGCGAGTAGGCGGAGCCTGAGTCAACAGCGATCCTCGGGGACCGCAATCTGTGGCTAGGAAAACATTCAACACGGCTTAGATTTGATTCCGGTATGTGTTGGCCCTGCCATCATCTGGTCATTCCCGCGAGAGCGGGAATGACCAGAGTCGAGCGCGAGTCTCACATAATTAGCAGAACATAATACTAGCCTTATCATCAAGAGACTTTGGGAATCGCGAAGCGAATATCGCAGGTTCTTGGTTCAACGGTAGCATGAGCAAATACATAATCCGCAGACTGTTAATGACCATACCTACGCTGGTGGTCATCTCGGTAGTCATCTTCATAGTGCTACGGGTGATTCCCGGAAGCATCGTTGCGACCATGCTCGGCGGCGGCGGCGGCGGCGGCGGCGAGGGCGTTCAGATGGTTGACCCGGCGGCCATCGAGAAACTGATGTCGGACCTGAAGCTGGACCGCCCATTGTACGAGCAGTTACTTTTCACTGGGCCCGGGGCATACTGACCGGAGACCTGGGGAACTCGTTCTTCAGAGGACAGCAGGTGTCCGAGATGCTGCGGAACCATGGTCCGGTCACTCTTCAGATATCTTTCATGGCAATCATCATCTCATGGATAGTGGGCCTGCCAATCGGAATCCTTAGCGCCGCGCGACAAGACTCGATAATAGACTATTCAACGAGACTCTTCGTTGTGCTATTCCTCGCGATCCCGTCTTTCTGGCTGGCCGCCCTGATAGTCCTGTTCGGCGTGTTGATCTTTGATTACTACCCTCCCCTGTTCTATTCCCACATCTGGGACGATCCGGGGGCAAATCTGGCAAAGACGACGGCCCCGGCCATCGTTATTGGGCTTGGAATGGCTGCCATGATCGCGAGGATGGCCAGGTCGTCAATACTGGAAGTTCTCAGAGAGGACTACGTTAGGACCGCGATGGCCAAGGGTCTGGCCGGCAGGGTTGTAATGTGGCGACACGCAATCAAGAACGCGCTGCTGCCGGTTATCACTATTGCGGGCATTATGATGGGTTTCACGCTTGGCGGCTCTGTCGCCGTGGAGTACGCATTCGCAATTAACGGGCTGGGCGTCACCATGCTCACGGCGATCATCGACAAGGACTTCAACGTGGTCCAGAACCTGGTCATGATTTACGCGGCCGCGTTCGTCTTTATAAATCTGCTCATCGACCTTTCATACGCCTGGGCCGACCCCAGAATCCGATACGAATAAAATTGAGTAAAGCGTAACCGACAGCAGGCATTTGATGCAGATATCTTCAGCAGAAGCAGTGGTGACCTTAACATCGTCGGGCAACTCGTTGCTTCAGGGTCTCCTGCGATTCACGAGGAACAAGCCTCTCGGCGCAATTATGGGGATCATCATCGTCCTAGTTGTGCTGATGTCGGTTTTCGCCGATGTCATATCGCCGTACCATCCTCTCGATACCAACCCTATAATGGCCAGAGAACCCCCAGACCGGGAGCACTGGATGGGGTACGATGAAGTTGGCCGCGACGTTCTAAGCCGCGTTATTTTCGGTTCAAGGATCTCGCTAATAGTCGGTATCACCTCGGTTGTGTTCGGTACGGTCTTAGGATCGGTGTGGGGCCTGGCGAGTGGCTATCTGGGCGGCAAGTTCGACCTCATCACCCAGCGCGCCGTAGAGGTGTGGATGAGTTTCCCCAGCCTGGTACTCGCACTTTCGCTACTGGTGGTCCTGGGAGCAGGTCTGCATACGGTGATCATCGCGGTCGCGTTCACCAGAGTACCGTACGGCGTCCGCGTAATCAGGTCTGTATCAATCGCGGTCAAGGAATTCATGTACGTCGACGCCGCTCGCTCCATCGGCGCGTCCGAGATGCGAGTGATGCTGCGCCACGTGCTGCCGAACTGTGTCGCGCCGTTCCTGATTATCATGACGGCGCACATAGGCACGGCGATCATAGTCGAGGCGTCGCTTGGGTTCCTGGGCATCGGCATACCGCCGCCGACGGCGTCGTGGGGTCAACATGCTGGGCAGCGCGGTGGGACAGGCGATCAATCCCCACTGGTGGCGCATCGTGTATCCGGGCGTGGCAATTGTGATTACCGTGCTCAGCTTCAACATATTCGGTGACGCGATCAGGGACGTTCTAGACCCCCGCCTGAGGGGTTCAGAAGCGCAGTAGTTTTCCCTCGGACAACTACAACTCGAAAAGAGAGCCGAAGGCCATTAGGCCTTCGGCTCTCACTATCCGTGGACCCATTCGATCCTTCGTAATTAATTAGCGGCTGCGGATTGCGATTGTCTGACATTCGAACCGCCTGTACGGTCCATCTTAGTTCCGCCTTTTACAGATCTGGGCGACAGGCGATTAATGGCGCCCAAGCTACCAGCGATTATCGGCCCGACTCTCTGATCGGCCCTCTCGTCTGTTATACTTTCTACTGTCGCTGGAATAGTAGAAGGACATAATATGTTTGAGACCCTGTCGGAAAAGCTGAACGGCGTATTCGGTCGCCTGGGGAACAAGGGCAGGCTGACCGAGCGCGATGTGGATGCTGCTCTGCGCGAAGTTCGAATGGCCTTGCTAGAGGCGGATGTGAACTTCCGCGTGGCGCGTGAGTTCATAGCGCGAATCCGCGAGGAATCCCTGAAATCCGATGTGCTTCAGAGCCTGTCGCCCGGACAGCAGGTTGTTAAGGTAACCAACGATGCCCTCGTGGACATCCTTGGCGGCAAGGTTCATCGCCTTGAAGCCGGGCCCCGGCGTCCGTCCGTCATCCTGATGGTGGGGCTTAACGGCGCGGGCAAGACTACCGCCTCCGCCAAGCTCGCCCACTACCTGAAACAGGACGGCCAGACGCTCGTAATGGTCGCCGCAGACTTGCAGCGCCCTGCTGCTATCCAGCAGCTCGAAACGCTGGCAACCAGATCGATGTCGCCGTATATCAGGATACGAAATCAAGCAACACACCTAAAGTCGCCAGGGATGGAGTCAAGCGCGCCTCTGAGCTGAACGCGGCATGGGCAATCGTTGACACTGCTGGACGATTCCAGGTTGACGACGACCTTATGTCTGAACTCGAAGCGGTGAAAGACGCCGTGTCACCCGACGAGACTTTGCTGGTCGTGGACGCGATGACGGCACAGGAAGCCGTCGAAGCCGCCAACCAGTTCCATGACGCATTGGCTTGACCGGGCCTGATATGACGAAGATGGATGGCGACGCGCGTGGCGGGGCTGCGCTCTCGATCACATCTGTGACGGCGTTGCCCATCAAGTTTATCGGCACAGGAGAGCGCGCAGATGCGCTTGAATGTTCTACACCCGACAGAGCCTCGCCTCCCGCATCCTCGGCATGGGCGACATGCTCACGCTCATAGATAAGGCGCAGGCGAATTTTGACCCAAGACGAGCTGCCGAGATGGAGCTGCAAAGATTCGGCAGCAGACCTTGACCTTGAGGACTTCTCGCGTCAGCTTCAGCAGCTCAAGCAGATGGGGCCTATCAGCCAGGTCTTGGAGATGGTGCCCGGCTTCTCCGCGATGAAGGGCAAGGTGTCCATGGACGAGCTTGACGGCAGCCATCTAGTCAGGACCGAGGCGATTATACGCTCCATGACAGCGGAGGAGCGCCGCCGCCCGGATATTATTGGCGGGAGCCGCAGGCGGCGTATCGCGCGGGGCAGTGGGACCACGCCGCAGGATGTCAATCAGCTTCTGAACCAGTTCAGCCAGATGCAGAAGATGATGCGCCAGATGATGGGCGTGTCCACCGGCAAGCAGGGCAAGGGTGGCAAGCGGCAGAGCAAGAAGATGCGGCGCATGATGCGGCAGCAAGAGAATATCTTCAACTCTGCCGAATGTGTAAGGCTTGGGCACTGGGCTGTCCCCGCACAATTTGTCACCTTTTTGCCCCTCTCTTTTCCTCCTGTGTAGGATAAACATTTGCTAGAAACCGTCAGCGCAACAGAATTGGTATTCGCTGTGCTGGTGGTGTTTCTCGCTTGCACTGTCTCAGCGCATGGGCTTCGGCATCGGCATTGTGGGTGCTGCCGTTCCATGTTCCTGATGTTCGATCTCGGCGACTTCGATATCCTGCTGAATGTGATGGCGCTGCCCGGTCGTCGTGCTGGTCGTGTCTGCGAAACCGCGAGCATCTGCGTCCGCGAGAGATTGTGCCCATCGTGGTGGCGGCGTATAGGCGCGCTGATGGCGCTGGGTGCTGGGGCATAGCTCGATATTGCCGAGTATCAAGACATATTCGGCATAGCGGTGTTGGTGGTCATCATCGCGATCACAGGTGGGGACGGCAATGTTCAAGATGCCGTTCTCATTGCCCAGAGCGAGCATCTATGGCACCGGTGTGCGGCTTTCTGGAGTGGGCGTGTTCATAACCGGGATATCCGTGCGTGGGCGGCCGCTGCTGGTGCTGTTCTTCCTATCGCAGGGTTGGGGGCGCCAGCACTCGCGCATCGATGGCGCTGTACTCATATTCATGGGGACAGCGGTGATAGTGAGCTACGGGCTGAACGACCTGTACACGCCTGCCAGAAGCACGCTGCTAATCGCCTCAATTGTGCCCGCCACTCTCGCGGCGCTGCTCGGTGATCGCATCGCGAAGAGCCTGACACGATGTCGTGTGGCGGCGCGCCGTCGTCGGACTGGTGCTGGCATCCAGCGCGTTTGCCCTTGCGACGAAGGTGGTCAATGTGGTGTCCGCGTAGCTAACTAGGGCGCGGATGTGTGCGATATAATCAGCGAAGCAATCAGATTGAACTTACAAGGAGGCGATGATGTCCGACCGAAAGATAGGGTACATTGGCTTGGGAAACATGGGCGGCGGCATGGCGTCGCATCTTGTGGCAAGTGGCTATGATGTGACCGTGTTCGACTTCTGCGCGCCGAGGCTGTGCAGGCGCTCGTGGACAAGGGCGCGACTGCCGCGTCATCACCCAAGGATGTCGCAGAGAAGTGCGATGTCATCATCTCCTCGCTGCCCACGCCGCAGAGCGTAGAGATGCCTGCAACTGGCGGAGAATGGCTTGGTGCAAGTGGGCTGAGCGCGGCAAGGTCTATATCGACATGAGCACCATCGACCCGGACACCACGCGCAGGGTCGGAGCAGCAGTACGAGCGACCGGCGCCGAGATGCTGGATGTTCCGGTCGGCATGGGGCCCGCGCAGGCGGCTACCGGTCAACTTACGCTGATGATTGGCGGCAATGCCAGCGTCGTCGAAGACTGCAAGGATGTGCTGGACACGCTCGGCGGCGAGCAGTTCTATTGCGGGCGAGTATTAGCTCAGCGCTACCACCAAGATTGTCAATAACCTCGTGTCATGTTCAGTTGCTACTCTGCTTGGCGAGGCTGGGTTACGCTGGGCGTCCTGCAGCTGGGCTAGACTCGGGCTGGCTGTGCAATGTATGTAACATGCGGAAGCATTACGCGCAAGCACGCTGCACGGACTAATGGACTGAAGGCAAGGTATTTGAGCGCAACTTCGAGCCGGCTTAAAACTCGCTGTCCGCATCAGGATCTGGACTTGCCGGCAGCTCGCGCATCGCTGGGCGCAGCCACATGTGGGTTCGCGGCGTAACCAGGTGCAGACGCTTGCTGATGGGCAAGGGCTGTGGGGAACGAAGACCCAGTATGCCGCTTCAGGTGGCGGAGGAGACGGCGGGGGTTGAGGTTAGGAGCGACGGGAGCTAGAAGGATGTGCGGCCGTATTTTCTACTGAGACGACAAATCCGAGTTTTCCTTCTAAACCCGTACCTCCACGTTGATTCATCCAACCAAAGCCTCCGGTATTACCTATCCTTCCTTGGAAAGCTAAATAAAGAGATTCAATTTCTTTGTCTGAGTTAATGAGGACCTTTAAGTGAATTAGGCCACCATAGTTTGCGTTGTTCTCCAGTCGAACCTCGTATTCGGAATCTCCAATTCTGCTAATCACATTCTCCAAGGAAATTCTATTCTGGGTCGCGCTTGCCGCATCCTCAAGCTGTTGTTCTAACGATAGGTAACATTTCAAGGCGTCGCTGAATCTGCCGAGCAACACAAGTGCATTCCCCTTATTGTAGAGGGCATTCATCAATCCAAGATCGGAAGCCCTATCGTAGTCCCTCACAGCCTCCTCTAACTCGTGCAGATCCAAATGAATATTTCCGCGATTGAAGAAACTTTCTGCTGATTCTGAATTTAGTCGGATACTTTCATTAAAGTCGCTCAATGCTCCTTCCAACTCTTCAAGCTCTGCCTTGGCATTTGCACGATTAAAGAAGACCATATACATGAATGGATGTCGAAGTTCTTCTTCAATGTCCTTGCCCAAGCCAAAGTCTAGAAAGGTGCGATTCTTTTGGCGGATTGCAGATGTGTAGTCTTGAATAGCAATCTCGTATTCCCTGATTGCGGTTCTAGCGTTTCCTCGTAGGAAGTAGGGCTCGCTCACTTCTGGATCAAGACTAATGCACTCGCTATAAGAATATATTGCCTCCGAAAAGGCTCCATTTTGATATAATCGGTTCCCTTGCATGAGGTACCATTTGGGCTCTCTAATCTGACGTATCGGCGAGGACACGCCTTCGGCTTGTGAAAACCCATAAACGTCCTGAAATAAGGTCGAATGGCTGACGTCTAGAATCTGCAGGTCTTTGAGAATCGCGGCTTTGTCGTCCCTCGATATTTCAATATCTGCCACAATGCGAGGATCCTCTGGTATCAGAGGACGCCCGATCACAAATACGCTCCGCTGTCTGAG